AAAGCAAAGATTAATCACATTCTCCAGGCTCTTCACTGTTCAGCAACACATTTATCAACCGTGACTTCTGGCTGCTCTTGTTAAAGGGCACATACTCAGAGGAGCTCTGAAAGGGAGCTGAAGGGTCTCTGGATGGTTGGAAATGGTCGGTATTTGAGTCCATTTTGAGTTTATTGAGCGACCGAGATATCTCAGCAAAACACCTGCCAACTCAGGAATAAAAGCAAGGAACGATGCCGCCAACGGAGTGATTGGGACCAAACAAATGATGCAAGGCACAAGCTGTTCACAAACTGGTAGGAAACTTTAAAGCCGTCGTTCACTCAAGTGGGAACGAATCGATAACTAAGGCAGAAAATCTCAGATCATCGTGATTATGATTATGATTACTATTTTTTGAAGGGATTATTATCACCGAAAAGTGATTTGCCAATCGAATAACAACCGGGTTCCTACTTACTGCGAGGTAAACAGAGGCGTGTGGAGTAAGGAAACTTCCCGAAGGTTTTGCCCCCCTGACCAGGAATCGAACCCGGGTCCTCTCGCTTGCGAGGCGAGAGCTCTAACCACTACCCTACAAGTTTCCATGTACCGTGCCAAGTTTTAACTGAGAAAAGGAAGAGCTCTGACACCGGGGCTTCAATGGGTAAAGATTTTATTTAAAGTTCCATCTGCCGAGTCTTAAGCCGCACAATAGATATAAGTGGGTTTGTTAACCAGACCGCAAGCAAAAGGCCCTAAGAGCTGTTAGTGTGCAGTGTTAGTGTGCGGAGCGGTGCAGGTTACCAGCTCGAGCCCACAGGGTGGCTGTACTAGTGAACAGTGACTGTTCATTTGTGCGCAAGCTTCTGACCAAAGCCTTTGATGCTGTCCTGTGCTCTGGCTGCGACAGAGTTGATGGCAGTTTGTGTTTGTTTCGATGCCTCTTCAGCAGCTAAGGACAAACAAGGGAGACAGACGTCAGTGACAATCACTCGAACACGGAGTTACTGCAGAGTAACTCGTCTGTGACTCGCACGCCGAAACGAATGTCCTGTCATTTTGCAGTAATTGAAGTTGAAGTGTTTTAGACGATGAAAGCACTGACTGTGTGAATAGTGTTACAGCCGATACAATTGCTATGTCGCAAGTTTCACTGTTACAACAATCTGTTACAGTTCGAGCTTGGATTTGACGTAGTTTGAACTTCACCTCGGGTAACATCTCGGCAAGTGGAGGGGCGCGGGGGGAGCAGTGACAGGGTTGGGAAGGATTTAAAGACAGATGGGTGGGGTGGAGGAAGAGAGTTCCAGAGGTTAGGAGCGTAGTTGTTACATACAGTTCATGTCTCGTGTGTCTGCTGCTCATATTGTGTTTGTTGGGTCGATTGGTGAAACCTGTGTTATTTCACCATCAATTATAATAGTAATAATATCCTTGCATTCAACATAGCACCTAATCACTAAGCTGAGACGACTCAAAGAGCTTCACAGGATATACCGTAAAGTGATTCACTGTGTATTTTTTGTGTGCGAAACACCACAGCCAAATGCGCACAGCAGTGTCCCACAAACAGTCATGGAATGAATGACAAAATTATTATTATTTTTGTTTAAAGGGTTTATTACCCCTAGAAAGCAATTGGCCAATTGACTAATAACTGGGTTCCTACTTACTGATAAGTAACAGAGACATGTAGAGCAAGGAAACCTGCCTAAGGTTTCGCCCTGTCCGAGAATCAAACCCAGGTCCTCTTGCCTGCGAGGTGAGTGCTCTAACCACTACGGATTCCACTTCATCAAGAAGGCAGGATATTGGGGATCGATAGGTTTGGGATAGATATGGTGACGTTGTTCCAGTTGCCAGATAATCTTCATATCCCAACCATATAGTAATAATAGTATATGATTATAGTAGAAGCCACTTAGTGTGATTATGCTTGGGGGCTGGTGACCTGATGTCTTTAATCCAATGTTAATGAAATTAGCAAATAAAAGCACAGACACAGAATCTACTCGCTAAAGCAATATTTATTGTACATACTTTGCAGCCATTACAGACCGAAGCATGGAGTTACTCTAATGCACGCGGGTACAAAATATAAATGCATTTTACGGAGTGGTTAATGGATCCAAAACAGAAAAAAAATTACACTGAGCAAGTTCCTGTGGATAGTGAATCAAAGTAAACCTGAAGAAAAATCATGGTAACTATTGCACCCGTTTTAGCAGGGATTGCACTGAGCAGCTTCTACTGGAATGGGTGATATCTTAAACCGAGGTTTAGCTTTATATTCAGAAGCTTGTCAAGATCACGGGAAAAATGGCTCTACAAAAAACATTTAGAGAGCGTCTTTCCTGCAGGATGATGTCCTAAGGGAGCTTTACAAGGACGGGCTTCGACGCTGAGTGAGAGAGGGTGGTGTGCGGGGGAGGAGGTGGCGGGTTGGGGGCTGGAGGTGTCTTCCTTCAGGTGAGATATTAAACCGAGGTCGCATCTGTCTGTTCAGGTGGACGTTTAAAGTTCCATGGCGCTATTCGAAAAGAGAAGGGAGTTTTTTTCTCTCTCTCCTGGTGTCCTGGCTGGCCAACAATCCCCCCACCCACCCCAAATAAAATTAAATTCTTCACTCACTCCATGGCTGTTCGTGTGACATTGCTGTGTGCGAACTGGCTGCCGTGTTTCGCCCACAAAACACACAGTCACTGCGCTTTATAGTGTATCCTGTGAAGCGCTTTGAGGCGTTTCAACGATGTGATAAGGTGCTGTATCAAATGCAAGGCTGATGATGATTATTATTATTATTATTAGGTATTAATGCTGGATGGAGTGGGGTGGGGGTGTGGGGTGAAAATACCACCTGCTCAAAGGACGGATGCAGGTGGCTTCACAGCCCCCGACGTGTGTGACAGCCCCAAGCAGAGTGACAGCCGCTCAGGTTACCTGTTTTAGTTGTGCTGCTGGACGACTCGGCAACTTGTATGACCGCCTCCTGAGCTGCCTGCACTAGAAGTTGAGGGAAAAGTTTAACTTTAAACAGAGGAAACTTGACAAAGTCCTTTTCGAGTTCCAAACATGTCCCCGAACCCCGTTTTGTGCGGTTACTAACCTGTGGTGCCCGCCACTTCCTTGGCTGCCGTGTGGGCCGTGCTTTTGAGCTCCTCCAGCGATTTCTTCATCGATGACATGATCTCTCTCTCCCTCTCTCAGTCTCTCTTGTCTTTCTCTCTCTCTGTCTCCCTCTGATCAGCAAAGTGAACGAGATGGACCGCAGTCTGGTATCTGAGACCTCCTGCAGCCAAAGCCGTTTAATATCTTTGGTACGCATCGCCCAGGGCAAGAATGACACAACACTCACACAAACACATACGCGCACAAAAGAAAATGATTAGCGTTGCGATTTTGTTTTTATAAAAAGAGGAGGATGAGATTTAGTGTTCTGTACGGGCAGATTAGAGTGTGATTTCTTTATCTGGAAGCAAAGGCCCTTTTGAAAAGGATTTGCTGACTTGGCATTACTGTTCAGTTTGAGCTCAGTGGGTTATAATCACATGCTGCCAATGAAACTGGGAACAGCCAAGCCTGATCTTCTGTCTCTCCAAGTGACAACGCTTTACAATTGGATGCGGTTGTAATATTGGAGCTGTTTCCCCTACAAACCATTAGCTTACGATCTCTCGGCCCCACACGCTGGGTTGGGCTCGCTGAAATGCGCGTTAAGAATTGGTAAGCCTGTTTGTGTGGAACCCCTGTTTGTGGAATGCTCCCATCTCTTTTACCTCCTTCAAGGCTTGTCTCCTCACCCTATCCTCCCTGACCTCCACTCCTCTGATCCCAACCCCCTGCTCGGGTCCAAATCCCTGACTGACCAGCGCCTTGGGACGTCCTCCCTCGGTGAAAGGGGTTGGGGCTTGTCCGTACCGCAGCGTGTATGAAACCACTTTCTCGGTTTCCAGAAAGCCCACTAACAGAGAGCAATGTTATAACTACAATGATATGATGATATAACGCCATAAAAAAGGCAACAGCTGCTTGGAGGGACCTCCCAGCTGGAGGACGGCCTGTGGGTGTCAGCAGCTGTGAAAGCCAATAGAAGTGGGTCAAAGATGCTGTGATTCTGAGAAATACAGAGCAGGACAGTCGCGGATGGGAAAAGGTTCCTCTTCCCAGTGATTGATTAGTAAGTGACCCCTGCTGAAGGGTGCTGTTGAGGGCAGCTAATGGACGCAGTGATGATGCCCACTCGGGCTTGTAGTTTGCCCCCAGTCACTGCTAGTGCTCAGGGGAACAACCATTCACGTTGGGACAGTCCTGTGTCCTCCAGAGTCATCAACTTCAGCCGAGGGAGGAAGGGCACTAAGCACAGTTGGAAGTGTTGGGAGAATTGTCGTTGTGTGAAGACAGTGTGAGAGTGGATCATATACAGTGCATTGCTAGAGCGTGTCCCTCAAACATTCCAGTCACAATAGACTGAGATTATCAAGCTCTCTCTTGCCCGATCACAAAGAGCCTAAGTGAACCTCTCACCTGGGGGAGAGAGATGGTCAAGGGTCACAGACAATGTCTTAGCAGGAGAACAAATGGTGTTTCAGCACCCAGGACATCCCGAAACTCGAACTGCTTCATGTGGGTGAGTTTCATACCTTTGCGGTCGGATCAATCAAATATAATAACGATAATAATCCTTGCGTTCGATTTAGTGCCTTATCACATCATCGAGACGTCTCAATGCGTTTCGCCGGATGCACTGTGAAGTCGTGTGGGTGCGTATTTCGTGGGCAAACACAGCAGCCAATCTGTGCAATATCCCACAGACAGTCACAAAGTGAGTGACCGATTTTATTTTCGGTGCGTGTGGGGAGGGGAGGGACTAGTGGGGGAATTGTCAGCCAGGACACCGGGAGAGAAAAACTCCCTTCTCTTTTCGAATAGCGCCACGGGATCTTTAACGTCCACCTGAACAGGCAGACGTGACTCTGGCAAAAGCGTGGGCGATCATAGCAAATAAATGGCGTGGCGTGAACGTGGTTCTATTACTTTATTTTCTCAGCACACAGATACATCTCACTTACTTTGTTTTACGACTCGCGACATATTCAGACCAGACTCGGACCACAAATTCTCAGTGCAACACATGTTATCCGTCGAATGGATTCACAAACAACATTGAGGTAAAACGATGTATAAAAATCAGTCCATATGAAACATGGAATCAGTTACAGCTAGGTCAGCTATTAGATTGGAAGATCATACTTGAGGTTAGCGTGAACATTGGTCATTTTGTTTTCCTTGATACACACAAAAAAAATCACACGTAGAAACAGTTCACAAAACACATCATCATTACAAAGCCAAGGACTCATTTCAGTGGGAGGGAGAACAGTGAAATGGGTCCTTGCATATTACATTGTACAGTCACAGTATGGCTACCAAAAGGGTTATAACAAAAGTCAGGTCAAGGAATCATTATTGTATTACTTAAGGACGGTTACAGTAATCAGTGTTTTTTTTAGTCTTGGTTACACAGTTCTTCATGCCTCGGGCTCATACTCCTGATACTCTTCCTGTGACGATAACAAAAAATCATTATTATTAATAATATAATAATCCTTGCATTTGATATAGCGTCTTTTCACGTCATTGCGATGTCTTAAAAACGCTTTTTCAATTAACATCTTGTCTGATTTTTGCCTTCTCTCGCATAAGATTTGTGAGCAAGTAGCAAGTAGTAACTAGTAATTGTTTGCTTACATGTGTGGTTTGTTACTTTTACTGTGGTCCAGAAGCATGTATAATAATAACAATAATAATAATGCTTGGATTTGATATAGAGCCTTATCACGTCAATGAGATGTCTCAAAACGCTTCACAGAATATATTGTGTGAATATGCTCACAACAGTGTCCTACAAACAGTCGTGGATTGAGTGACCAAATTATTATTATTATTTTTTTCTTGAAGGGATTATTACCCCCGGGAAAGTGACCCACCAATCGACTAACAACCGTGTTCCTATTATTCTTCTTCTTATTATTATAACTCAATGGAGGCCTGTAATAAATGTAGATCTTGACAGCTATCCTAGCAGACACTTAATGTGCCCAGTGTCTATCTAACTACATCGGTGCAGAATTGCGACCATAATCTTCGAAGAGTTAAACAAAAGCAGACTGCAGTAGCAATAATGAAACTCAGTGATACGGAAAGCCACTGGCCTGAAAACAGGCTCGCTGGCTTAGGGAAGGCAAACCTGGGAGCCACAGACTTTCAATCAGGCAGCTTAATCTGTCCTGCTCTGCCCCATATAACCATTGTTGTACAGTTTGTTACTCTTTGATAAGAGCAAATGATGTCAGAAAGATAAAATCAAATTCAATAAATGTCGGGGAGCCAGAGGCACGGCAGATATTCCCAGCAAGAGCCTGTGCTTATTTCCAGCTGTTTCACACCAGTGAATGATAGCCACAGACCCGCAATTATAATAGTAACAATAATAATTCTTGTGCTTGATATAGCACTTTATCATGTCGTTGAGACGTCTATGATCAGGGCCTTGATCGGAGAGTGAAACTAACTGGTGCACTTGCTGTGGCAAGTTTAGAACCATTTCCAGCTAAAATCAGCGAGGCCTCAGCTTCACTGACTCGCAATCTTAAAATCGACCTCGGCCCATCTTGGATCATGTCTTTAATATAATAATCTTTACATCTGATATAGGGCCTTATCACGTTGTTGAGACGTCTCAAAGCGGTTCACAGAATATACCGCAAAGTGGATTGACTGTGCATTTTGTGGGCGAAACGTGGCAGCCAATTGCGCACAGCAGTGTCCCACAAACAGCCGTGGGTTGCGAGGCCAAATTTGAGCCGTCTCAACGACTTGATAAGGTGCTATATCAAATGCAACGATTATTATTATTATGAACTGTGTCTGTTGAGCAAAATTGCAACGGAGTGACTGAATGGTAGTCTGATAATCTGTATCAACAACCCATTCATGTATTGTAGGCCTAAATCAATTAGGTAAGTAGTCTGTTTCATTGTAATTTGTTCCCTTTAATTTTTTTATGTCTGTGTGATGCTGTTGACTTCTGGCAGACAGTGTAATCGCTAATTTAATTGCATTGACACACTGAATGCTGAAGCTGAACTACAGCTTTACAACTACAGCAACAACAACAACTTGCATTTATACTGCACCTTTCATGCAAGATAGCATCTCCAGAGTGGGGTGGTGGGGGGGGGAGGGGGAGGGAGACAGAGAGGGAAGGCAAAATGAGACAGAAAATTGCAGTGTGAACAGACAGAGGAAAAGTAATGCCCAAACAAACTGCTTCTACTACTAATAATCCTTGTATTTGGTGCAGCAACTTATCGCAACTTTGAAAGCGCTTCACAGAAGCGCTTCACAGAATATACTGTAAAGTGAATTGACTGTGCGTTTTGTGGGTGAAATGCGGCAGCCAATTGCACACAGCAGTGTCCCACAACAGTTGTGGATCGAGTGAACAAATAATATATTTTTTTGAAGGGATTATTACGCCCGGAAAGCGATCCGCCAATCGGCTAACAGCCGGGTTGCTACTTACTGCCAGGTTAACAGAGGCATGTGGAGTAAGGAAACATGCCTAAGGTTTTGCCCCGCCCGGGAATCAAACCCGGGTCCTCTCCCTTGCGAGGCGAGCGCTCTAACCACTACTTTAGAGGACTCCACATTCTTGAAATCAATCATCACAAGTTGCTCTTTATCTAGCAAGTGCAGTGGCCCATTGTCGAAAGGATCACTCGCCTTTAATGTCCTCTTTAAAGGAAATTGTCAACCAGCATGGCATGTCCCGTTTGTGTGGGTGACAAAATCCAGCAATCAACATTTTCCTGAACAGAGCATTCAAAGCCCTGAATACTAATGTGGGCTCTGTGCTACCAGGAAAGAGAGGGAGTGAGTAATGTGTAACATTAATCTTGTCTCGAGCCCAACACCCACACAGCTGTTAAAATGGCACTGATCCTCCTTCCGAGGTCAGAGTAAGCCAGGGTTTCGTTTCCTTCAGGTAGAATATGAATTTCTTTGGGGGGAAAGTTTTTAAACGGGAGGTTTTAAATGACTGACGGACCTTCCATTGGTTTATTTTCGAGCATCATTATTCTAGAATCCATATAATCCCTCGGGAATACTGATCGTCCTGAAATAGAATACCTAAACATAGCAAGAGATTGTAAACAGACCTCGGATGACTGACAGCTAGCTCCTCTTTGTGGAGGAAGATGACCGATACGCTAGTCTCTTGTTTAAGCGCTATATAAATGCAAGTTGCTGTTGTTGTCTCATTCTTTGCCTTTCTCTTGTGAGTTACTGAGCTCGAGATTATAATCAAAATTTACTGAATTTGGACGTGTATAAATAAATCCAAGCTGCTGCTGCTGCTGCTGTTGTCGCTATTGTTGAATGGGTTTTAAGAAATTGCAGTGGGGGGAAAAAAAACAAGTTAAGACTGGATTCGACAATTTGCCAAGTGGATGTTCTAAAGTGCTGGGTCAGTACAGCAAATGGAAGAGCGGGGTGGAAGGTACTACCTAAGTGTCTCTCATTTACCCCGCATATTCTCAATGAATGCTTTGTTATTTCAACACCTGGAGCTCGATTCCCAACCCTGGGCAAGAGCTGGTGGCTACCCTTTGGCTATCGTACCTGTGGAGCTTCTTCATAGACCTCGGGTTCAACGTGAGGTCCCCCCTCTGGTTCCATTTCACTGCCTACCATGGAATCTTCAACCGCCTCTTCCCCGACCTCCTCAGGCTGTCGCAGATCGAAGACGGAGAGAAAACAATAGGTGAGGGAGGTGCAAACGCACACCAGCATCAGTAGAATGTCAGAGCTGTTCATTGTCAGAATATCCTCACATCCCCTAACAAACTGGGTCAATTTGGAATTTTGATGTTAGACGATGATCAGTTTATAATAATCCTTGCATTTGATATCATGCTTCATCACTTCGTTGAGACATCTCAAAGCGCTTCACAGGATACACTGTGAAATGGATTGACTGCATATTTTGTGGATAAAACACGGCAGTCAATCGCACACAGTAATTACAGTGCTGTGTCCATGCAACAGTCATGGATTGAGTGACCACATATATATATATATATATCTTTGAAGGGATTTTATTACTCCCGGAAAGTGATCCGGCAATTGACTAACAACCGGGTTCCTACTTACTGCGAGGTAAACAGAGGCGTGTGAAGTAAGGAAATTTGCCAAAGGTTTTGCCCCACCCGGGAATTGAACCCAGATCCTCTTGCTTGCCACAGCAGCAATTCTTGCGTGTTACAGCGGCTCAATAAACATCAAAAGGTATTGTGTGTTGGGCGTGAAAATGTCCAAAATTTACAAGACAACTCAAGAATGTTTTAATTTTTGGCAATTTATTGGTATTGTATTACTCATAGCCAAGTCAATAAAAAAAGGCAATTGGGAATAGAGGCTGGTTTAATCTGGCTCCAGATATACTAAAATTATTGCTAAATAAAATGTTCTGCTCTTACAAGTTAGTTTAATACATAAAAAACACAGATCAATTTGTTTCAACATCAGTTCAATTTACGTATATATGAAACATGAGACGGTTTTAATCTTGCAATGAACTACACCGGGAGGGATTTGGGTTAGAAGCACAGAGGATCTATTAAAATAAAAACCTTTTCAGTCAGTTTCAGTCCTGAGCAGTTTCATTGAACCCAATGAAAAGTAAAGAGATTGGATGTGGCAATATTATTATGATCTTTAAAATTTTGAAGGGACTTGATAATGTAGACCATGATAAACTGTTTTATCTTGCACTGAACAGTAGAACCAGAGGACACAGCCTGCGATCGAAGGGGGGTAAATTCAGAACAAATCTGCAGAAACACTGAAACACTAATTCAGTGAGCGAGTAGTAAATTTATGGAGCAAACTCCCAAGGACACAATGGAAGCAGGAAGTGTTGTTTATTTCAAGAACAAATTATAATTTCTCCTAGAAAATACAGTACATAGTTTGGGAAAACATGTCAAACGACTTCCAGGATGGTGGAAGTTGAACTGAATGAACCTTGCAATTCTGATATTATGGTCTTAGTGGAACAGGATGAAATGAACGCTGTTTTGGTGCCCTTTGCTGGACAATAAATTGCTAAAAGTCCCTGTTATGTGTGATCTTGGAGTCCTGTAGCTCAGTGGTTAGAGCACTCGCTTTGCAAGCAAGAGACCTGAGTTCAATTCCAGGCAGAGGGCGAAACCTTGGGCAAGTTTCCTTACTCCACACAGAGCCTAATAATAATCCCTCCAAAACCAAAACCAATAATAAAAATTGGTCTTTTTCAATCTATGACTGTTTGTGGGACATTGCTGTGCGAAATTGGCTGCCGCGTTCGCCCACAAATATACAGTCAATTCACATTACAGTGTGTTCTGTGAAGCGCTTTGGGACGTCCTCCCGACGTGAAAAGCGCTATATCAAATGCAAGGATTATTATTATTATTATTATTATCTTGCTTCTCCCTCCCTCTGTGACCAACTAAAACCTTACCAACCTGTCCACTCTGTCCGCTCGGCGGGCACTGGCCTGCAACACGTTCCTCGCCTTACCCGCTCCACCAACAGCAGTCGGGCCTTCAACCTTTCTGCCCCCACCCTCTGAAACTCCATCTCGGAGACCTTCTGCCTCACCCCCTCCTTGCCTCCTTCAAGACCAGTCTCAAGATCTTCTTCTTTGACTGTGCCTTCAGTCATCCTAAGTCAATGTAGAGCAAGATTCACACCTACAGTCTTCTAGACTGTGAGGCTTTGTGTTATAGCAGGGAGTAACTTTACCCATTGAACCATTGAAGGAGCTTAGCAGAACTTTATATAGTATCTCCTGTCCATACTTCATGCAGATCAAACCACATTTAACTTGAATGTAACCTTCTAGAATCCCCTGGATACAGCATCAATCACCTCTGTAGCATTTACACTCTTTGGATTCTGTAATGGTTTTACTCTACAACTGCCTAATGCTTACCTTTGAGACATCTTATCGCTTTCTCCTGAAAATTCATTTCACTCTTACATCACGCTAGCAAGGTAAATTCTAAGTAATGTGGCTTAATTAGAGCATCTGATGGATCGTAAATCGTCCAATTGAGAATATGAAACAAATTAAATGCTAAGAGCCTCTTACTTAAGAGAAATGTACAGTATGCAGATCTTACTGTCTCTTCCCACCGAGGTTTCAGCCCATTAAAATGTGCGATATGCTAACTATTCTATTTGGGGAAACATCAATTACTGACATTAGTGTTCGGAATAAATTGCATCAATATTGAATGAGCTTGTCCACCTGTCCTTGGTATTTCTCCTTTCACCTTCCTAAAAGCTGAGTAAGTTTCACATCAGTGTTTTCGCAATATAGAAGCCTCCGTGCAGATACCTAGTTTCTTAAATTGGGCTATAAAATACAGAGTGGACAATATGGTCCACCACCATCTAATAATAATAATAATCCTTGCATTTGATATAGCGCCTTATCACATCTTTGAGACATCTCAAAACGCTTCACAGAATATACTGTAAAGGGAATTAACTGTATATATTTTTTTGGTGGGGGGCGCAAAATGCAGCAGCCAATTGCGCACAGCAATGTCCCACAAATAGTCGTGGATTGAGTGACCAATTTATTATTTTTTTAAGGAATTATTATCCCTGGAAACGCGATCTGTCAATCGACGAACAGTCAGGTTCCTTACTGCTAGGTAAACAGAGGCATGTGGAGTAAAGAAACTTGCCCAATGTTTCACTCTGCCTGAGAATTGAACCCAGGTCTCTCACTTGTGAGGCGTTTGCTCAAATCACTGAGCTACAGGACTCCACTGTCCAGATGGCAGTGGACAAATATCACAGTGGACAATAACATATATCAAACCAATTTTGTCCAAATTTGTTAGTAGCATATATATATGTATAGTATATATATATATAACATTACTTTCAAAAAACCTAACATTTAAAACCTCTATTAAGTGTCACGATATCAGATCTTACAAGATTTACTGCGACTCGATTGCTATGTGGGATGAGTGCGCTGAGTGAAGACTGACCTTTATATCAGTGGGAAAATCTTCCTTTTTCACCAAGCCTGTAGCCGCTGCGATGTTACCGGCTCCATCCACAGTCTTCTGTGCCACGGCAGAGACTCCAGTGATGACTGCTCCACCCACCAACGAGGCCTGCTCCTTTGTTTTCTCAGCCACTAAAAAGCAAACGTCACTTTACAGTAGTCTATAGTTCCTGTGTGAGACAATCCCCTGCCTTTATTTCCTCCCATTCTTCCTTTGCCTCCCTCCTTCAAGGCCTAGCTCAAGACCTTCCTCTTTGCCCGCGCTTTCGGTCACCCTCCCACCATCACCACACCCTCCACCCCACCCCTTCCCCCTCCACCTTGCTCTCCACTTCTCTTGACTCCAATCCATAGCTCGGATGCACTGTCCAGCACCTCGGGATGTCCTCCCGACATGAAAGACCCTATATAAAGGCAATTTATTGTTGTTCTTTAACTACGTTTTTTTTCTACTCAGTGCTACAATAATCCTTCACTCCGCCTTTCCTTCTGTGGACCATTTAGATGTCTTTAACCTTCGATTATACCAGATTTTTACCAGAATTAAAATGGTTAATGTCAATGTCATTTTTATCCTAAAAATGAATCCCTAAACTCTGTGGAATATTGACTCCAATATTTTGGCTTCGGTACAATAATAATAATGGTCAAAATATTAGGATGTTTGAACAAGAATGCCGAACCTTGTGCCAAAAAGTATTAGTTCACATAATTTCTGGCTGGCAAGACCATAATTCTCGTTTGTATACAGCTGTGGCTAATTTGAGTGTATTAAGGATGGCAGTCAGTGGCAATATGTTAAAGCATTATAGTTTAGAAGATTTGTATGGCTCTGACAGATTACATAGTTGAAGGACATTCACGATGACACCCTCTCAAACTGTCTGTCAGTCCCTGGTTGTAAAGATAATCAGAGAGCGTGCTAACCTGGCATAACCGACACCATCTTTGTATTTCTTTTGACATTCCTGAACTTTTGCTGTTGAAATTCCAAACATTTTAATGACTGCAATTTCCTGACAACATCACTGCTCACCTTAGGAATTCTACATAAAAACATAAGAATTGCTAGACGAAAGAAGACCAAGGTCCACCCAGTTCGCCTTCCACCATCCTGGCAGTCGCATGCATAAGGTTGTGTCCCAGAATATATACTGTATATCCCAATATATTATTTCTTAAAAGAAATCTATCTAATTTGCTTTTGAATGAATCAACACTTTCTGCTTTCACCGTCTCCCTGGGGAGCCTGTTCGCCTGATCACATCGTTGAGACGTCTCAAAGCGCTTCACAGCACATATTGTAAAGTGAATAAGACTGCGTATTTTGTACATTTTTAAATTTTATATCTCTATTTTTAATATGCACTTTATATATAATTTACACCATCACCGCAAAACCACAATGAATCGATCAGTTTAGTTTGTCTCTGAAATTGATACCAGAAACCTGAGTAGGCATGACACAACAACAAGGCTTTACAAAGCTCTCTCTCTCACACACACATACAACCCTCTGGTTAAATAAAAACCTTGCTATTTTTGCACATTTCTGCTCCATCAAACTGCGCGAACGCCACTTTCAAACGGCTTAATGCATTTGCATGAATTCATCATTTTTATACCTTTTAATCATTTTTGCATGAATTCACCATTTTTAAACACACACACACACACACACACATCTATATACATTCATACCTGAAACCACACTTGAAACACCTTCCTTAGTTTTGGATCCTATAAATAAATAAAATGCAGAGGATTATAATAATAATAATAATTAATAACAACAATAATGCTACGACTAATAATACGAGGAAATTGTCAGGAATTCATCTCCTGGTTAATTGTCAGAGCCTATCATTTTGCACAGGGCTTCAATACGCCTTCTTCTGAAATATGTGCTATGTATTGTGTTTTTTTTTGGAGGGGGGGATTATTATTAAGCTCTTTGGGTTTGTTGTGGCTGTTTTAAAGGGAGTGGGGAGGGAGAAACACAGGGAGAATGCGTTTTTATGGGGGAAAAATATGTGATCACCATATGGCTGACTGACCCATCTGTTTTTCTCTTTGACCGTGCCTTCAGCTCCCCTCTCGACTCTCTTCCTCCTCCTCGCTCCCTCCCTTCCCTCCCCTCACCCTGACCATTTCCCCCTCCTCCCTCCCTCCCTTCCCTCCCCTCACCCTGACCATTTCCCCCCTGCTCGGGTCATGACCCAACTGTGCAGCGCCTTGGGACGTCCTCCTGACGTGAAAGGCGCTCTATAAATGGAATCTTGTTGTTGTTGTTGTTGTTGTGGGCAGACAGGATGATAGATAATAAAACCATTCAGATCCCATCCTCCCCCCTCTCTCTCTCTCTCACACACACACACACACACACCAGCTCAACACTTGGGAGTGAGCACACACTCATTGCCTCCACACACACACACACACCCATACACACAAAAATGTATATTTATTTGACTTGACATCACATCAAAAGGGATTGCAATCATCAGCAAAGCTGCACTGAGCACTCACTCACTCACACACACACTCACTCACACACACACTCACTCACTCACACACACACACACACACACACTCACTCACACACACACACACCCATACACACAAAAATGTATATTTATTTGATTTGACATCACATCAAAAGGGATTGCAATCATCAGCAAAGCTGCACTGAGCACTCACTCACTCTCACACACACACACTCACTCTCACACACACACACTCACACACTCACTCACACGCAACATGCATATAACCATTTGATATCACACAACCAACTAAGATTGCAACCATTCGCAAATCTGCATCGATTGAGTGAGTGAGTGAGTGAGTGAGTGAGTGAGTGAGTGCTCCCGAAGAAAGACGGGGATCGCCGGACAGTGTGAGAGCGAGTGGGTGAGAAGGTGACCTTTGTCTTTCGCGAATGCGAAGGGCGCTTTCTTGTGCATTCAACGCAATGCAAAGGGATGGATCGCACTGATTGCACCTTACCCACATACATCACCCCTTCCTTGGTTTTCTCTGCTGCATCGGCTACCCCCTGTTTGGTTTTCTCTGCAGCAGCCACCACCCCATCCTTGGCTTTGGATAAGCCTTTCATGAAAACATCCATTTTTTGGGGGGTTTTGCTCTCTCCTCCTGGATTCAAACTGCAAAGCCCTGGATCTTCTGGAGCAGAGACACACACACACACACACACACACAGGGAGAGAGAGAGAGAGACTAAGTCTCATTCATTTGCAAAGCCACCATCTCCCTTGCAGAGAGAGAGAGAGAGAGAGAGACTAAGTCCCATTCATTTGCAAAGCCACCATCCCTTGCAGAGAGAGAGAGAGAGAGAGACTAAGTCTCATTCATTTGCAAAGCCACCATCCCTTGCAGAGAGAGAGAGAGAGAGAGACTAAGTCTCATTCATTTGCAAAGCCACCATCCCTTGCAGAGAGAGAGAGAGAGAGAGACTAAGTCCCATTCATTTGCAAAGCCACCATCCCTTGCAGAGAGAGAGAGAGAGAGAGAGAGGGGTAAAAAAAGAGGTCTCCTGGTGTCAGGTTGATTATTTCCTAAAGAACTCGTGCTGATTACATTCCTATCCCATCACATCCCATCACTTCACAACCAAACAACTGCAAAGGAACACTGACCTGTCAGCCCCCAGGATCCCTGTGGTTGCTGCTGTCTCTCTCCTCCTCTCTCTGCACAGCACTTGCCACCTATTGCCTCTCACTGGGAACCTGGGATTTCATCCACAGAGCAGTGCAATGGCAGGAACCAGTTCCTCTCCCCTCCTCTGTATCCTCTGCTCTGCTCTCCTCCCTCTCTCTGTCTGTTACAGTGCTCGCAATGCTCCCCCAGGCTTTCTGTGTGATCTATGTTCCCGACTGATGCTCTCTCTCTCTCTCTCTCTGTCCTTCCTCTTAGTCACTCCAGTCTATAGAAGCGCTGTGTTGGGAGTGGGGGATAGCCCCTGGAGTGTATTTTCCATCAATTAATCTATTTCCAAGCAGTGTTGCTTGAAGACTGATCGCGCATCTTCTTGGGGAGCTGTGAAAATGGCACATATCGCACTGATGCCCGGCTCTTTTACCCCATTTGCTTGTGGCTCATATATTGTTTTCCAAACCCAGACCCAATTAGGAGCCATAATATCTGCTGATCTCAGATCCCACCCTCATCATGTAGGATAGTGGTTAGCTCGATCCCCTCTCAAGCGAGAGGACCCTGGTTCGAGTCCCAGACGTGGCGAAACCTTAGACAAGGTTCCTTACTCCATACGCCTCTGTTTACTTAGCAGTAAGTAGGAACCTGGTTGTCAGTTGATTGGCGGATCACTTTCCGGGGGTAATAATCCCTTCAAAATAACCCAAAATGCTGTCACTCAATCCAAGACTGTTTGTGGGACACTGCTGTGCGCAATTGGCTGTTGCGTTTCACTCACAAAATACACAGTCACTCCACGTTCCGATATATTCCGTGAAACATTTTGAGACGTGATAAGGCGCTACATCAAATGTGAGGATTACTATTATTATTTTGATAAGGGTGGGTTCGTGTCAGGATCTCCGCTCCTTCCAGTGAGAGCAGATTAAATTCCTCAGATGGTGTCCCTGGCTTCTCAATCCCGGCCAACAGAGGCAGAAGATCTCTCTCTCAAAAATCATCTCTCTCGACAGTTGCTCCATCTCCCACAAATAAATCATGGGGGGGGGGGGGGTTGGGGTGGGTGTTGTATCGTAACACCCCACACAAACTGACCTCAAAGGGAGAGCACAGGCAAGCACACAGCCCAACGAGTAACTGATACGGACAGATAGCACCCTTGATTGCAGCCTATGATTTGTGACAATCCAAATCTGACTGAGTTCTTCCTAGGCATGGAAATTTCCTTTATCTGGAATGGGATGTGCCACTCTATCCCCAGATAGACCTGTCCTGCTTATTTAATCCCGTAAAGGCGTTAGACGCTGTTTGGCAAGAGCCAAGATTTAGGAATGTCAGAGTTGGGGTAACTACTGGAGTCTAACCAGCTAACGCCGTTTGGCTAGCCATTGAGAGCGCTGTCTGGAAAGCTTCCTGCTGCTTATCCAGGCTGCCTAGTCTGTCTAGCACAGTGCCTTGGAGTACTCTACACTGGTCTTGCTCAGGAACCAGACTTTCCAAGATTGCCTCAGACAGTTGACTTGATTCCACTATTCCATTGCCAGGCACATCCCCTGCTTAATGGCGCCTGATTAATGTTGCACGCCTTACAATGACGTAACATTAATGACGTTAACATTAATGAAAGGACTCTCGCTTGTCCAATGCCTTGGGACGTTCTCCTGATGTGAAAGGTGCTGTATAAATACAATCTGTTGTTGTTGACCAGCGATCAGTGTGTTGGTGGAGTCTTTCCCAATCAGTATATCCATGACTGTTTGTGGAACACTGCTGTACACGATTAGCTGCCTCGTTTCGACAACAAAATACACAGTCACTGCACTTTACAGTATATTCTGTGAAGCGCTTTGAGACATCTCGAAGACACGGTAAGGTGCTATATCAAATGCAAGGATTATTATTATTATTATATACATCACCTTGCGTGCAGAGGCTGACTAGTATGATCTCATTAAACAAAGGATTGCAAGCGCCCATTTTTCAGTGTGACCATTCCCTATGATCATGAAACCTTAACACTGCAGATGGGTGAACATATGTCAAAAGTCTTCATTGGGCTGTGATCACAAACACTCAAGCACCATTCACAAGTTTCATTACGTCGGGAATCAATAAGATCATTGCCCCAGACTTGGAATCTGTCCAACTTTCCCGTAAGTGATTTACTACACCACTTACAGAAAAATCCAATATGTCTGGTCTGCCACAGACTAACACTAACCCCTGCCAATGTATGGAACTCACTACCCCAAAGGGCTGTTGATGCTTAGTCCTTGAACATATTCAAGACTGAGCTAGATAGATTTCTTATTGCAAAAGGGATTAAGGGATATGGGGATAAGGCAGGGTCAGGTTATTAGCTGGAGTTAGATTAGAAGATCAGCCATGATTGAATGGCGGGGCAGGCTCGAAGGGCCGAATGGCCTAATCCTGCTCCTACGTGTTATGTTATGTTATAATTTCAAAAATAGTGGCTCATTTTCTTTGCTTCTAATAATGTTTCAAAAATATATTTAATATTACATCTCCGTTGACCAAATGCAAACAATCTTTCAGCATCTGAATTTTATTTCTTTCTGCAAATTTTTATTAATGTAAACATTATAATGTTGTGTTTCATGTGATAAATTATCTAAGACCCCTTCCAATCCTGAGGAAACCAACAAGCATAGATTTGTGGAGTCCTGTAGCGTATTGATTAGAGTATCCGCCTTGCAAGCGAGAGGACATGGGTTTGATTCCTTGGCAGTTAAATTTGGGTGAATATGGCTCTACTTTGTGTGACAGTGGAAGTGCTGTGATAATTATCAACTTACACATATTTAATCAGTTCACATTGTGTCAGTGACTTGTCTCAGTTGATGACAAAGAAACAGAAGTGCTTGTAATTAAAAGTATATCTTGGAACGTAAGCCTGATAATGAAATCTAGAACAAATACATTTTCCTTAAATTGAAACTGCGCCTTTCATATTGGCAGAATGTCTCAAAGCTCTTTGTGGGACGTACCATAAACTCTTATGACTTTATTTGCAGGTAAACGCAACTGCCAATTTGCACACAGCAATGTCCCACAAGCAGCCATGGAGTGAGTGACCAAATTTATCTGGGGGCTTATCGGCCAGGACACCGGGCAAGAGAAACTCCCTTTTCTTTTAATAATAAATAATAATTCTTCTGTTTGATATAGTGCTTTTCACGCCTTCGAGTCTTTCACATTGGGAGGACGTCCAGGACGCCTGAAAGCGCTCACAGAATATACTGTAAAGTGAATTTAACAATTGATTTTTCAATAGGTAGAGACGTCTCGAAGACGTGATATGGTGCTGTATCAAATCCATGCAGTATTATTATTATTATAGTGTTATCAAACATGGGAAGAACACTAGGCACCAATATATAACTGCAATCATGGGAGGCCACAGAAAGAAGGAATATTCAACTTAAAACACAGGATTGTCCATTGAATGAGAACAACAGTCTTCCCCTCCCCCCTTCACCCCACTCCAGCAATCAGGGTGTTTCCTGCAATTGGAGTTATTTTGATAGAGGCTGTGGCTTCTCAATCAGCAAACCCAGCTGTACCCAAGTGCTTTAACAAGTTACTGTTTAAGAGGCTGATAAAGGTGACTGGGGGAGGCTGTTTGGCTTCAACACATTCCCAGTAATGGCGATGGCACATTTGGTGAGTTGACAGGTTGTTCAATGGGCGCGTCATTGAGTAAGGTGGTTGAGAGCAGAGAGAGGGTGGTGGAGCTTTGCTGTGAAGCGCTGGGGAACCAGCGTGTAGGAGCTCTTTCATCTCCAGTGACGAAGGCCAATTTACTGACTTGACCTTTACACAGCTTCACTCAGTCCTCCTGCTAACCAGTTCTCACAAGGAGGTCTCCCCTTTACAAACACAACTTGGTTGCCACCTGCGTTGTGTGTGTGGCAGGAATGGCTTTGCTTTCAAATCTACAAATTCCAGAAAGCTCCACACTGCACTGAAACTTTCAGGGTGACAGCCAGCTTTGGATCCCTTGGACTGTGTTGGAGACTGACCTGGCTTTGTGTGACAATTATGATTTGAAGAAAAAAAAATCTCATTTGTTTTATTATAAAACTACAGGAGAATGAGAGGCAACTTTTGCATTATCTTTTTCTCTCTCTCCATAAAATTTGGGGCGATTGTTTTGAAATCTGGGCGTTGGTTGGCCTTTTTCCAGTTAAAAATAAAATTCCCTGCTTTTAGAAATTGGGAATATTTTCAGCAAAATTAGCATTACATTGTTGTCCAACCTGGTTTTATGTGCTTTTTTTCTTAAGGTCCATTTGACAGGTCTTCAAGAGCCTGAAGAGGAGGAAGGTTTCAGGCCCTCCAGCAAAGCCAGTCCGACTCTCGAGCCCTACCTGAAGCATCCTTTACAGAACAGGTAAATTGAGCATCCTCTTTCTCCACCCTGGGAGGTCCAGCAAACTATCAGTCCTCCCAGGCTGGCTGGTTTATGTTTTCCGGTTTGATACTTTGGTGATTAAGCGCATGAGTGCTGTGTTCAAATGTCAGCTCTGGAACACTGCTCTGCGTGAAGTAGCGCTATATCAATGCAAGTTATTGTCAGACATTTGAACATTTCTTATAATAATAATCCTTTCATTTGAAGCGCTTCGAGATACCGTCCGGTGTAAAGCGTGCTATAATAAATGCAAGTTGTTGTTGTTCATATACCATCTTATCATGTCTTCGAGACGTCTCAAAGTGCTTCGTAGAATATACTGTAAAGTGAATTGACTGTCTATTTTGGGGCGAAATGCGGCAGCCAATTACACACAGCAGTGTCCCACAAACAGTTGTGGATTGAGTGACCAAATTATTATAAGTTTTTTAAGGAATTATTACCCCGGAAGGTATTCTGCCAATTCCCATTCTGCTTCCCTTTTCTTCTTTCCAATTTATTAATATATATATGAGACATCTCAATAACATGATAAGGTGCTAAATCAAATGCAACAAATATTTTTTGTTTTCATAGCAAAAACTTTTAATGTTAGGTTTTTTTAAACCTAGTACGACATGCTTTTTCTGGATGAAGGAATTCTTTCTTATAAAATTGGAAAATGTTAATTGCATTGATTAGTTATCAGTGTGGAGTTATCGTTTGGCAGATTTTGTTTTAGGAAACAATAATAATTAAACATTAATAATAATAATAATCCTTGCATTTGATATAGCGCTTTTCACGTCGGGAGGACATCCCAAAGTGCTTCACAGAACACACTGTAAAGTGAATTGACTGTATATTTGTGGGTGAAACGCGGCAGCCAAATTATTATGTTCCTTAAGGATTATTATCCCCGGAAAAGCGATCTGCCAATCAACTAACAACTGGGTTCCTACTTACTGCCAGGTGTGGAGTAAGGAAACTTGCCCAACATTTCGCCCTGTCGGGAATCGAAGCCAGGTCTCTTGCTTGCGAGGCTCTAACTACTGAGCTACAGGACTCCACAAACATAGAAGTAGACTATTCAACCCCTCGAGCCTTTTCCACCGTTTTATAAGATCACGGCTCATTTGTACCTCAGGTTTGCGGTACCTCCCCTTGCCCAATATCCCTTAATAATATCCTGACCTAACAAATATCTATCTACTTCTGTAAATGTGAAAGAATCCAACATCCACAGCCTTTTGGTGGATGTCGGTGTTCTGTTTACTTTCTGTTGTGGCTTCACAGAGTGTAGCAGTGTGAGGGTTTGCTGTTTGCTGCTTTAGGTGGTTGCACTAGTTTGTTTCTCCTCTGGTCTGTGTGTTTTCTTGTCTCTCTCGCAGGTGGACTCTCTGGTTCTTCAAAAATGATAAAAGCAAAGCCTGGCAGGCCAACCTCCGCCTGGTCACAAAGTTCGACACCGTAGAAGATTTTTGGGCGTAAGTCATGAGACTAACAGCTCAACAGAATGGAATCAAATGCTAAAAAAGCATAACCGCTTGAGAAGGGACAAGTCTTTAGTAAACCAAAGACTTTACTTATCTCCCCCACCCCCAGCACCCATTGCCTCATGAATCTTTACATCCGAACAACAGCAACTTGCATTTACATAGTGCCCTTCATGCAGGTCAGCGTCTTTGAGTGCTAAACAGTGGTGAAGCCTGCCGCTGAGCTGGTTTGGGGGTGGGGGAGAGGAGGTGACCGTAAGCGCGGTCAAAGAGGAAGATCTTCAGTTGTGGTCTAAAAGATGAGAAGGAAGGAGACAAGGCAGAGGCATTGGGGGGAGAGAGCTCTAAAATTTCGGGGCATTACCAACGAGATGAAGGAATCAGCAGCTTGAAATGACTTCCTTGTTGCGATGAGTTTAATTTTCAGAAGAAAAGCCCCTGATTAGTTATCTTAGGAGCCTCCATCCACCTCATTAACCCAAACTGCCTGATGCAGTGAGAGCATGTTAAATGACCATGTGTGCTGCTTGGCATTAAATGACTCCCTGCCCCCCACCCCATAATTAAATGAACCTGCTCACAGGGGAGATTGCAATAGCTGATCACGAGACCAAGTCTGTTGAGTGAAGTGCCTTAGCACGTCCTCTTGAAGTGAAATGTGCTATGTAAGTTGTTTCAGTAACAATGCTCAAAGATCTTGCGGAAGTTTAGTTTTTAAACTTTCTTTCTATCCCTCTCCTTGCCTTTTGTTTTTAACAGATTATACAATCATATTCAGCTTTCCAGCAAGCTGATGCCAGGCTGTGATTACTCGCTCTTTAAGGTTTGTGATGAGAAACAGACGACCAGGTTGAACATATGAATGAAATGTTGTACAAGGTGTGCACTGACTGATAATCTCCAGCACACTGTAGGTTAAGGAATAAATAGTATGTTTACAGTGCCCTCTAAAGGAGAGGTACACGAATACACAGTCTGGGAGGTCATCTGTGGCTCAACATTGAAAAGAATTGGGTGAATAAAACAAAACAGCGGTCACATTTATTTATCGAGATTTTAGTGGGCTGTTCACTATTCCTGAAGATCTCCTCTTTGGCTGTGCTTAAGGTCACCTCCTTCTGGCTTGGCCTCAGGCTCCGAGATGCTGCTCTGGGTGAAGGGACACTACATAAATGCATGTTGTTGTTCATCTGCATGTTTGCCAATCTTCCCGTCTGCTTTTCATGTTCCTTTATCAACATTACAAATTTTTAATTGAGTTTTCAATGCTCTGGAGCGGATGTTTTCACCAGTAGTGAGTGTCCTGGCCCACAAACCTAGTTTTAAAAAAAAATTTAAATAAAATGTTATTAATAAATAAGACTGAGGTGGATAGATAGTTGTTAAATAAGGGTATTGAGGGATATGAGGCAAAAGTGGGTAATTCAAGTTGAGGTACAGATCAGCCATGATCTTATAGAATGGTGGAACAGGCTCGAGGGGCTGAATGGCCTACTCCTGTTTCCATGTTCTTCGGAATCCTCCTTTCCCCTCCGTAGGAAAAGCGGAAAGCCAACAGATTTAAAAGATTCTTTTCTCAATTCCTTAGAATTTTTAAAATATCCAATAAAATGTTTAGTAACTAGTTTCGTGCTATGCCATAGGATGGTATTGAGCCCATGTGGGAAGACAAACAAAACAAATGTGGTGGAAGATGGTTAATCACACTCTCCAAGCAACAGAGATTGGTTGAACTTGATCAATTCTGGTTGGAAACGGTGAGTTTTGAACTTGTGTGGAAGACTTGGTCTGTTTGACATGAGCACAACCACAGAAAGCTGTAGGATTGTCTTAGATATTCAACAACAAGATTGCATTTATAGAGCGCCTTTCACGTCGGGAGGACGTCCCAAGGCGCTGGACAGTTGGGTCGGGACCTGAGCAGGGGGGAAATGGTCAGGGTGAGGGGAGGGAAGGGAGGGAGCGAGCAGGGGGTAGAGAGTCGAGAGGGGAGCTGAAGGCTGAAGGTCAAAGAGAAAGGTCTTGAGACCGGCCTTGAAGGAGGAAAGGGAGGAAGCTGCGAAGGCACTGGGGGATGGAGTTCCAGAGCCTCGGGGCTGAGAGACTGAAGGTCCGGCCACCGATGGTAGGGTGGTTGGGGCGGGGGATGTGGAGCAGAGGAACGGAGGGTACGGGCAGGTAGGTAGGGGGATAGTAGGTTGGAGAGGTAGGAGGGAGCAAGGCCGTGAATGGCCTTGTAGGTGAGGATGAGGATCTTGAAATCAATCCTCTGGGGGATGGGGAGCCAGTGGAGGGGAGCGAGGGTGGGAGTGATGTGGTCGCGGTGTCTGGTGCGGGACAGTACACGAGCTGCAGAGTTCTGAATGACCTGCAGTGTGGAGGGAGGGCCGGGAAGGCCGGCGAGGAGAGAGTTCCCATAGTCCAGCCTTGAGGTGATAAAGGTGTGGACCAGAGTTTCAGTAGCGTGAAATTAATATTCAGGACTGGAATTTGAAATATTGTTGCATTTGTCACTGGCAAGACTGTTCCTTCTAACAATAATAAGGAACATCCACAAATAACAAAGTAATTCTGAAGTGTATCCTTTGTTTTATTTGAACAAATATGGCTTCACAAAATAACTTGCAGTTTTCTCTCACTAGATAATTTGTTTCCAACTAGTGTATCTATCCTGTATATCATACACAACCGTGAAATAATGGAACTAATTGTGGTTCTCCAGAGAATTAATTTGCTATTTTGTTAATGTAATACTAGAAACTAACCAGACATGTTTTTGTAGTAATAATCTTTTCCTCTTCCCCCTCCCTCCCCCACCACTAATAAGTTGCTATGTCTTATTGGGGAAGCTTTTGATCATTATAGTGACGATGTATGTGGTGCAGTAACCAATATTCGACCCAAAGGAGATAAAATAGCCCTTTGGACAAGAGACACTGAAAACCGAGATGCAGTTTTACATATAGGGTGAGTTGGCTGACTGTGTGATACTCTCTCTAATCTTGCTGCCAATCTTTTCAACATAGCTGAATTACATTTTGCCCACAAAACATACAGTGAATTCATGTTACAGCATATTCTGTGAAATTAACAACATTTCACAACGTGAACACCAAACCATGGGGAATGGAAACACTTAACACTTCTGATCTATGGAACAAAAACTAGATTTCTAATCTCCATTGTTACTCTGGTAACCAAGGCATTTCACCTTGTTAATCAAGGATCTATTCTTCACAGAATATTACTGTACTATAACTAAGCATTGCGGCTGTCTAGACACTACTGTCTGTTGGCACTTCTGTCAGACAAAGTGCACTGATGATCAGTGAAGGATGATCTAACTTTGAACATATGTTCTTTGCACTTCATGAAGTACAATCTGCTTTCTGCCCCTCACATTAATAATGCTGAGTGTGTGCACCAATAATGTGTGTTCAGTGTTGGCTGTTGATTTTTGTGTAATCTGTGTATACATGTGTATGGATTGTTGGGTTGCAGTATTACAGGAAGACTTTACCTGAATGTGTTTTGGGGGACTTTTTAAAAAAAAAATGTATAAAAGTTGGAACCCTATCTATAGTTCACTGCTTGATGTTTGGAAAACTCTGATCAGCGATTTACTATGTTGTGTCCTATTTGCACAACAAGTTTCACATTGGTGGTGGCAGTGGGGGAATGTACCAAAGTGCCGGATAGTCAGGGATTTGGACCCAAGCAGGGGGTTGGGATCAGGGGGCTGTGGAGGGCACGGAGGGTAGGGCAAGGAGGGTGACCAAAGGCGTGGTTGAAGAAGAGGGGCTTGAGATGTGCCTTGAATGAGACAAGGAAGGGAGTGAGGAAAAGGGACTGTGGGATGGAGTTCCAAAGGGTGGGGGCAGAGAGGCTGAAGATCTGATGGTGGGGCAGACCGGGCGGGGGACGTGGAGCAGGCCTTACGACAGACTTTTGTTTCTTTTGCTGTAGGAAGATTTACAAGGAAAAGTTAGGTCTTCCAGTGAAGGTTGTGATTGGCTATCAAGCCCACGCAGACACGGCTACAAAGAGTGGATTGGGGATTCAAAATAAGTTTGTTGTTTGAGAGGATATTGTATAGTCACTTCCAGAGCGGGGGGACCAGAATTCATCGTATTCTACAAACTGAATTTGCACAGCAGCTAAGATGTTCACTATTTTGTTGATTGAACTGTGACTTTGCATTTTTTGTTAACATTTTCAATTGACATTGTGAAAAGATAACATTTACTGTACAAGTATGTTGCAAGACTGCATGACCCTGTATCTTTATACATTCCACAGTCCAGCAATTGGACAAAATTAACTTCTAGAATGTTGTAGGTTTTGAGGCTGTAAATGTTCACTTAGAAAAAACTGATCTGCAATAAAAATGAAGTGCATAACTGGAATTTTGTGTCAATCCATGTAACACTTGTGAAGTTTGGTGTTCTTGTATATTGGCCATGACAGGTGTGTTTTATAGTTTAACACACTTTTTGTTTCAACTGCATCTTGAAATTACTAGTGGCAAAAGATTGCAGTATTCCCAACCACATTTGAGAAATTACTAATAGCAAATGATTCCAGTATTCCCAAACACAATTACATATCTATGATGTCCTACTCTGCCAAATATTTCTAAAAATACTATTTGGCAGTTTGGGTTGAAACTAATTGCAGCTTCTGTGTATGGCACTCATTCACTGTGGCAAGATTTTTAATTATTTAATTTTAAATACAAATATTCTAATTGTACAAGATTGTAAAAGTTGTGAAAAAAAAGTGCCAGTGTGATCATCATCAACTTGTTTTCTGGTATTGTTGTTTGAGTGCAATACATTGGGAACTAGCCTTGAACTGTACACTTAAGAAAAAAAAAGTAATTATCACAGTCAGATTTTGTGCCCTATTTTAGTTATTTTCAGTACTTGAATAGCCGCATTTGCATAGTAGGGTGACCGTAGGTCCCTGATTTCCAGAGACAGTCTTCGGATGAGCTATTGTGTCCCTGGGGCCAAAATTGCCCCGTTCTTGAGTTCAGCAACAAACAGAGGGAGAACAATAACATCATAAAACAGATTCACTCAACAACAACAACAACAAGATTCCATTTATAGAGCGCCTTTCACGTCGGGAGGACGTCCCAAGGCTCATCATAGAATCGCAGGCATTAATCTAACACGGGCTTCTCTAGTAACTGTCAGAATCAGCAATTGTTGGGGAGTTATTTTTTTTAAAAAAATATATGTCCCTGGATTTGGTTCACAAAGTACGGTCGACCTACACCGGTGCCCTTCGCTGGAGGGTACAGCATCTCAAGAGCACTTGTGTCAATGTTGGTCCGAATGCTCAGTGCAAAGAGGATTATCACTGGCTTTAACCTCAGGAGCGGTTGAAATGGGCTGGAGCCAACCAATGGCATTTTTTTTATTTTTATTGCAATCCTTTTAAAAATCCAATGTTTAAGTGCCTGTCCCTTTAAGAGAGGATGGGGGGGCGGGGCGAGAGCGTGTGAGTGGGCGGGCGCGCCTGCGCAGTGCTGCAGACAGCGGGCGCCCTCCGGTGGTCGCGGAGGGCAGGGGATTTCGGAGCGACGCATGCGCAGTAGGGGGGGAAAGGAGCCGGCGCCCTCTGGTGGCGGCCGGAGGGAGTTTGAAGCGGCGCATGCGCGGTGGGTGAGGAGGCGGTTGGCGGGCCATGGCCGCGGGCCGAGTGCGAGTCTGAGGGCCGCGCGCTCCCCGCCTCCTCACAGCGGCCCCGGCCTCCCCGCCGCCATGTCGGGCAAGTACTTCAAGGGGCCCGAGGTCAGCTGCTGCGTCAAGTACGTGCTGTTCGCGTTCAACATCGTCTTCTGGGTAAGTGACGGGTCCGAGTCCCCCGACAGGCCTCGGCCTCGAGTAAACGCCTGTTCCCGGCCTCTCGCCAGACCCCGGGCTCCCCCTCTCCCTCCCTCCCCCCTCTCTCTCTCCTCTCCCCCCCTCTCCTCCCTCCCCCCCTCTCTCTCTCCTTCCCCCTCTCTCTCTCTCCTCTCCCCCCCTCTCTCTCTCCTCTCCCCCTCTCTCTCCTCCTCTCCCCCTCTCTCTCTCCTCTCCCCCTCTCTCTCTCCTCTCCCCTCTCTCTCTCTCTCCCTCCCCCTCTCTCTCTCCCGCCCCCCTCTCTCTCCTCTCCCCCCTCTCTCTCCTCTCCTCTCCCCCTCTCTCTCTCCCTCCCCCCCTCTCTCTCTCCTCTCCCCCCTCTCTCCCTCCCCCCCTCTCTCTCCTCTCCCCCTCCCCCTCCTCCTCTCTCCCTCTCTCTCCTCCCCTCTCTCTCTCCTCTCCCCTCTCTCTCCTCCTCTCCTCTCCCTCCTCTCTCCCCTCTCCTCTCCTCCTCTCTCCCTCTCTCTCTCCTCTCCCCTCTCCTCTCCCCCCCTCTCTCTCCCTCCCCCCCTCTCTTTCCCTCCCCCCCTCTCTCTTTCCCTCCCCCCCTCTCTTTCCCTCCCCCCCTCTCCTTCCCTCCCCCCCTCTCTTCCCTCCCCCCCTCTCTCTCTCCTCTCCCCCTCTCTTTCCCTCCCCCCCCTCTCTTTCCCTCCCCCCCTCTCTTTCCCTCCCCCCCCCTCTCCCTCTCCCCCTCTCTCCCCCCCCCCTCTTTCCCTCCCCCCCTCTCTTTCCCTCCCCCCCTCTCTTTCCCTCCCTCCCCTCTCTTTCCTCTCCCCCTCTCTTTCCCTCCCCCCTCTCTTTCCCTCCCTCCCCTCTCTTTCCCTCCCCCCTCTCTTTCCCTCCTCTCCCCCCCTCTCCCCCTCTCTTTCCCTCCCCCCCCCTCTCTTTCCCTCCCCCCCCCTCTCTTTCTTTATGTACCCAAGATTTTGGCTATAAATTCAACTCGGTTTGGAGCCTAAACACTTTCGCGCTCCCCCCCCCAAAAAAAATGTTATCCCAATATTATATGTCTCTTATATGTTATTAATATTATTAGGAAGCCTTGTTGTGTCCTAATAGGATGCGTGGAGTCCAGTAGCTCAGTGGTTAGAGCACTCGCCACACAAGCGAGCGATCTGGGTTCAATTCCCGGCAGGGCGAAGCCTTTGGCAAGTTTCCTTACTCCGCATGTCAGATAATAATCCCTCAAGAAAAAAACCCAATAATAAATTGGTCACTTCAATCCACGGATGTGTGTGTGACGCTGCTGTGCGCAATTGGCTGCCGCGTTTCGCCCACAAAATAATACAGTCAATTCACTTTACAGTCTATCCTGTGAAGCGCTTTGAGACGTCTCGAAGACATGAAAAGCGCTATATCAAATGCAAGGATTATTACTATTGTTGCCTCGTTATATATGGGTAGTGGCAGAGTGCTGAAACTCTGGTCCACGCATTTATCACCTCAAGGCTGGACTATGGGAACTCTCTCCTCGTCGGCCTTCCCGCCCCTCCCTCCACACTGCAGGTCATTCAGAACTCTGCAGCTCGTGTACTGTCCCGCACCAGACACCGCGACCACATCACTCCCACCCTCGCTCGCCTCCACTGGCTCCCCATCCCCCAGAGGATTGATTTCAAGATCCTCATCCTCACCTACAAGGCCATTCACGGCCTCGCTCCCTCCTACTATCCCCCTACCTCCCTGCCCGTACCCTCCGTTCCTCTGGCTCCGGTCTGCTCCCCATCCCCCGCCCCAACCGCCCTACCATCGGTGGCCTTCAGCCTCTCAGCCCCGAGGCTCTGGAACTCCATCCTCCAGTGCCTTCGCCGCTTCCTCCCTTTCCTCCTTCAAGGCCGGTCTCAAGACCTTTCTTTTTGACCTTCAGCCTTCAGCTCCACTCTCGACTCTCTACCCCCTCCTCGCTCCCTCCCTTCCCTCCCCTCACCCTGACCATTTCCCCCCTGCTCGGGTCCTGACCCAACTGTCCTTTGCTTTGGGACGTCGTCCTGATGTGAAAGGCGCTCTATAAATGGAATCTTGTTGTTGTTGAGTGGATCCATTTAGGGTTTTTAGTGCTTTTGAAACTTTGGGAAACAGCTCTTCAATGGGGTAAGGATGAAAATGAAATGATAAGGATGAAAAAAGCAAGTTTTTTATTTAATATTTTTTGCAGGTTTAAATGACATTTTTTTAAAAAAAATTATCAAAGCTGCTTTTTTCACACATGGTAACCGCAAAAAAACCTGCTCTGCTCTCGTATTGGCCACTACTGTCTCTCCTCCTCCTCCTCCTGTACTACGAATAAAAATCCCAACAAAAAGAGAGGCTGTGAAAGCAGCAGGGCGGGGAGGTGTGAAAACCTGCTGAGATAGTTTCTGGGGGTTTATTCTATATTGTAAGCAGGAATTCCAGGAGAATGTTGTACCAGGTTGTTAACATAAGGCAAGGGGAAAGCCCTGGCTTGGTCATTGACACCCCATTACAAATTCTACTTTTAGTGAGACTGGTTCTTATCCAAGGTTAGCATTGAGTGATCCTCCGAAGTTGAAAATACTGATGGAAGTGATGCCTTGTGAATGAGCTGTTACTCTTATCTGATCCTAATTTTTGTTGATACAGTTTAAAAATCAGTAAACAATTAAGATTATTTTGCACGCAAACGGGATTATTATACAGAAAAAGGAATTATTAAAATCATGTTATAACGAAGTACTGTAGTTCAATATTCCCTCTAATTACATGCAGTAGTGGTCGTTCAATGAATAGCAGATTTGTCAGACTGTAAAGTGTGTTGCCTGGGAGATGAGCGAGTGCGGCATGCAATTCAATTTTGAATGACATTCTTTTCATGATCTAAAATGTCTAAATTTGGAACTTTGTTCTTTCCTTTTAATTTTTTCAGTCTTTTTTAATCATCACAATGTTTTGGTTCTATAAAGCTGATTGGTATTTTTTAATCTGTGTAATATTGGAACCATTTTATGTTTCTAATTTATCTGCAAAAAGTGGGCTTGAGTGAAATTAAAATGAGTAGCACAGCCTCCTTTTTAGGCAGTGTATTGAGACTTGCCGCATATTGTAAAGCTCACCATAACCTTGAAGTTCACCTTGGTACGAAGAATGCATATTTGTTGGACATCAATCTTGGTTCTTTAGTTTTAAGAATATGGAGAATGATCGTAATTGCCCAAATAGTGGAGTTTCTTTGAAGTACATTTTATAGCCGTATTGCTGTCTCAAAGGACACTTTGTTTAGAGACTCTTGTCATCTCTGTCAAAATATCAAGTCTTTGTGCAATAACCTGGGCTAATAGAAAAGTGAGGAATTGTTTCTCAAAAATTGTGGAGAAATTTGGCAAACTTGTGGAAAGTTGCGGGGAGTTGAATTGTTGCTGTTGAGGTACATTTTACTGCCAACCTACATTTTTGCAATTTATTGGTTAAAAACTAAACATGCAGAAATAGCATATATTAAATTGTTGCAACTTTCTTCTTTAACAAAAACTGGGTGACCCATTTGGGACGCACACGCCAGCGCAGGCCCAAAGGACCTGGAGATCCGCCAAAAAACAGCCACTCAGGACCAGTGTCCTGTCTGCGGGGCTCCAGGAGCTCACCACCTCCTGCCTGCACCAGACACGGACAGAGCCACGAGACTGCCGTACTTGTCTGTTGGTCCAGGCAATAACATACATAGCTGACGTGTCTTTGTCTTCTATCTGTCTTGCAGATGCTCGGAGCAACTTTTCTTGCAGTTGGTCTTTGGGCGTGGGCTGAGAAGGTACTTATGACACTATTTGAATGTATAATTCCTGGTATTAAATTGTTTGTACAGCATTCGTGCAAATGTGTGTTTCTTCATTTTTGTTTGGAGCATACAACTTCCTTCTAGACCAAATTGCACCATGTGTTTTAACAGTGGAAGAGTTGAGCACCAGATGGATAAAGGTTAAAGCACAATTTATTCCAGAACAGATGATTTGGATTCAGTTTAGGTAATATGTGAACAATCTGTTTTCACTTGAAAATACTGTAAGGAGCATGGCAAGTGATCATCCTTGCTGCATAGAATCTTTATTAAAATATTCAATGTTTTGTATGTTTGGTTTTGGGAAAAAATGTACAATAAACGAGTACTAAAAAAATCACTCTTAATGGAAATTGTAATATTCCCAGAAATTATCAGCATTGGTCAGATAGTTTTAAATATTAAATTAACACCACATGGCACTGAGATTGTCACTAAAATTGCATTCTTTTTAATTAATAAATAGAATATATCTTTTCATATTAACTATAGGGTATTCTTTTCTATTTTGCATGGAAGGATGAAGAGATGTTTTTGAGCCCTGTCTTAATTCAGATTTTGATCTACTTGGCATTGTAACTAACAGAAGGAATTTTTGCATTTAAAGTTTCATAAATTGCACATTTTTGATGAACGTAACAGTTCATTTTAAAGGTTCACAATTTTTTTGTTTAATGTTACAGTGGAATTTAACAAAGTACAATGAATGCCTCAACATTTAAGTCCTCCAATGCAGTTTAAAAATGACAAAGATGATGCATTTATTTCAGCAAATAGTTCCAGTGTTCAGAAGCGAGACCTGACTTCTTTTCTTTGTGTTTCTTCACAGGGTGTGCTTTCCAACATCTCTTCCATCACAGACCTGGGAGGATTTGACCCTGTCTGGCTGTTTATCGTAGTAGGAGCAGTGATGTTCATTCTAGGATTTGCTGGCTGCATTGGTGCGCTCCGAGAAAACACCTTCCTGTTGAAATTTGTAAGTTTTGGGAGAAATCAGTCGGTTTACATCATTATGGAATCCTGTGGCTTAGTGGTTAGAGCGCTCACCTCATTAGCAAGAGGACCTGGGTTTGATTGCTGGGCAGGGCAAAACCTTTGGCAAGTTTCTTTGTTCCACATCCCTCTGTTTACCCAGCAGTAAGTAGGAACCCGCTTGTTAGTTGATTGGCGGATCGCTTTTCCGGGGGTAATAATCCTTTAACATAATAATACTGTTGTGCAGAATTTGTGTGTTTCGCCCACAAAATGTACTGTCAATTCACTTTACAGTATATTCTGTGTAATTACTCAAAGACTTGATAAGGGGCTATATCAAATGCACTGATTATTATTCTCACTATAGTGAATGAATGGACGTAATACTCTGGATGGTTTGTCAGAAAGAAGCTGTAGCTAAATTGCAGCCTAATCCTTGAAGGAACAAATAAGCAGCAGTTAATGTACGATTTACATAAAATCTGATTGTAAATATATTCCACTAAAACACCTAAACTAGCTTTTACATATTTTACTTATTAAATAACCGTCCTCAGTGTGGTCTAGGCTATAATGTATCGAGGAGATAAGATGAATAAGGAGAGTTAAGAGGGACCTAATTGCCTCAAAATGCATACCAGAGTGATGTTCTTTACATTATCAGTAGATTAATCATTATCGTTTTTTGCTTTTATTTGTGAGTCAGTGTGTCATGGTTGAAAGCAACAAACAGATGGCTCTTGTGACGAGCATTATTGCTTGGCAGTCTGATTGTGTACGAATCATTTGACTGGCAGGGATAGCAGAATCTATTTAACTTAATGACACAGCAGCTTGTATATTTACTTAGCCTCTTGTCTGAGGCAGCAAGGATGGTGTTTGTTTGTCATGAATTGCTATGTTTCTATCTTTTGAATGGCAGTTGTGGGATGGGCTGTGTGTGTAGAGATTTTCCCTTACCAAAAGTGGGCTGTTAATGACATCCACAAGGACTTGCAGAACCTTAATTTGAAATTGTACTTTTCATAGCCAGTGCAATATTTTCTTCCTCAATTTCAAACTTCACACTTTTACAGAGATCAAAATGCTTTCCTTTGCTGCTTTGGAAACAAAAACTCCTTTTATTTCTGGGTCATTGTTATCAGTTGCCACTTTTCTTGTAACAAAATTATAGTTCTGGCATTCTGCATTTAAGAATGTTGGGAACTCATCATTTTGGTTAGGTTTAACGAGTAAAATTTTTGCAAAGGGCTTAATCCTGCCCACCACCTTAGGCATGTGGTTACCTTTTCCTTAGCACTGGAAGTATAAACAACAACTTACATTTATATAGCACCCCTCACACAGGGTAGTGTCCCAGAGCACTTGACAGTGGCGGGAGCACGATGCTGAGCCGAGGGGAGAGGTGACCGTAAGCACGGTCAAAGAGGAAAGTCTTCAGGCAAGATCTGAAGATGGGTAAGGAAGGGACAAGGTGGTGGGGATAGAGGAAGAGTGTTCCAGAGTTTCAATATTGCTATTGCAGCAAAGCTTTCCAGATGAAAGATTTTTTTTTGAACAAAAGCTGTGTGCTACACACAGTTGCAGTGCCTTGAACTGGCTCAGTGGAGATCGGCTTTGACTTGACAGCCTATTGGTACATAGTATTGATTTGTTTTCTTTCTTTACAGTTCTCAGTATTTCTGGGTCTGATATTCTTCTTGGAGTTAACGGCAGGAATACTTGCGTTTGTCTTCAAAGACTGGATCAAGGACCAGCTCAATTTATTTATCAACAAAAATGTTCAAGCTTATAGGGATGACATAGACCTTCAAAACCTTATTGATTTTGCACAGGAGTATGTAAGTAAATGAAAACCATTTTTTTTTGACATGAAGGAAAAGTGGCAAAGCAAGAGAGAGGTTGGGAGGCTGTAATTCTATGGCATTATTTTCTATCATGAACGTGGGCTTCTCGTATGTGCGTCACTGAATGTTTGCTCTTCCCTCTTTCCCCATTGAGAGGCACAGCAGAATTGTAAACTTTGATCTGTTTAAACTCTAATGACCTTTTCGCATCAGAATATTGTGAAATAGGTTAGAATTTGTGACACTCTTGAATCTCTCAAATGACAATTGCGTGTGAATCGGGTTCTGAGAGAATTCTAATACAACTGTATATTTATTTTACACAAGCACATTTTGGTGCTTTCACCCACTATTAACTGTCGGTTTAGGAAGGACCAAATGTTGTTAACCTTTACAATATTTTGTCTGTTTTCAGTGGTTATGCTGTGGTGCTCGAGGACCCATTGACTGGGATCTAAATATTTACTTTAACTGTACAGACTTTAACCCAAGTCGAGAGAAATGTGGTGTTCCGTTTTCCTGTTGTATCAAAGACCCTGCGGTAGGAATACTTCTAAATTGGACTTACATACTTTATAAGTATACTTTAAATACTTCTGAATCTGTGTATGAATGTCACTTGCTATCTTGTTCAGTAGATAAGTAAACTGGGATTCAACACTGTGATGGGATATTATGGGTTCTTTATTTAAACCTCAGTGGTTTATGTTCCTATGGTAATCTGCGCCTCTAGATTTCTGTATATTATCCAGACAGAAAAGGAATCATCACTTGTTCAAATATCAGTATATGTGACCCAACTCTGAAGTGCAAGGTAGCAATGTTGCCTTTTAAACGCACAGAGTCCTGTGTCCTGGAGACTCGGATGTTTAACGAGCAGTGATCCACATCGCTTTTCCCATTAAAGTACAACTCATATCTTCTAATTCCCTGAAAGAATCCTGGCACTGTCAGCTTTTTGCACAATGCTTTGACTACTTAACCAATGAGCCAGATTCAGTTATTCCAATAAAGAATTTGCATATTTATAGTTCCTTATCACATCATGATTTCTCAGAAAGTGGTTTGTAGGTCATTACTGTCAAGTAATTAATGAATAGATGTGCAGAAATGTTTTTAATTGCTATAATAATTAATAGTACTGTAATAATATCTATGTTTTTACTGTGATTTTGAGAGATTGTGCGGTGTGATCAGAAGATTTTATTGTCTGTAGGAGGATGTCATTAATACCCAGTGCGGATATGATGTCAGGTTGAAAATGGTGAGTGTGAATGATTCAATTTTCTTTAGAGGAAGGTAGAGGGGGAGGTCATACTTGCTTTACACACTTAGCGAGGTAGAATAAACAGAACAGACATGGTGGGAAACAGATGTGTGCATTGTTTGTTTCACAGGAAGAAATGTGGATCCGTGCAGATTGTATCAGATGTGCTTCTGCCGAAACACAATAAATTTATTTTGGCAGAGAACAAAATTTAGGGATTGGACTGTATCGCTAAATAGACTGAATGTTATATTCATGCAAATTTATTATGTTACGCTGTACCAATTAATTCCACTTCTTACCTTTTATTTGTGTTGGTTTTATTTATCTGGTTGTGTTTTGTTTCTCTCTGTACTCCTCATCGAGAGGTTACTGATTGGGAACAATATTTTATTTTTCAATCTCCACTCCATATCCAAGTTAGCAAAGGGTAGTGGGCTGAGCAATTTCCTGTACAATATCCCTTCACCTAATATCAGCAAGCACCCCTTATTGTAACTGTTTTCTAAGCAAACATTTCTTGTGTGTGTGGAACTTTGGATACTTTGTGTTTTGGATACAAGCCACTTGGAACTGAGTTGTAATAATAAATAATAATAATCCTTGCATTTGATCCTTATCACGTCTTCTAGATGTATCAAAGCGCTTCATAGAACAGCGCTTTGAGCAGGGTTAACTTCATTTCATGTCAGTCTCTTACGTCCTCAGCCTGGGCTACATTCAACTGTGGATCTCAGAAATCGAAAGGGTTGACATTGTGTACTTGTGTTGTATTATAATCACCAGTTCTTCTTTGTCCATAGGAAATAGACCAACAAAATTACATATACACTAAAGGATGCGTTGGGCAGTTTGAAAAGTGGTTGCAAGAAAACTTGATCGTGGTTGCTGTAATTTTCATTGCTGTTGCTTTACTGCAGGTCAGTGATTTATTTTTTAAAAAACAGGCATTAACAAAGTAAAATATAAGTCTGGTGATCCACAAAAATCTATATGTATTAATATCCCATTGCTGCTTTGTTGCTCTCGGCATGTTTTTCATGTTCTGATTGAATATTGGAGTTTATATCAAAATCTGGTACACTTACTTTGCTTTCTTTCAGATATTTGGAATTTGCCTGGCACAGAATTTGGTTGCTGACATTAAAGCTGTCAAAGCTAACTGGTAGAAATTTTGACTGGACATTGGCAATTAACACATACTGACATTTGGCAGAACTGAAATCTGCACAGCAGACGAAGATACACTGCAGAGCACTGGCCATGAATTCAGTTTCCTGTCATTACCGAGACCTGTGGAAAACAACACGAGAGCTGCTGTAGAACATTTAGATTTTTTGCAACAAACAAAAACCTTGTTAAATATCGTTGGTAATGATTTTAAAGGGATTTTTAGAGTTTGTAGTTAATGAATATTTCGTAATGTTTTTTGTCTTGTGTATAGGATGCCAAAATGTATTACGTTACTTTAAAGTTCATGTGGTTTAGAAGTTACATGGGGTTAAGGGGTATAATAATTGGCTGAATTGCAACGACTCTTGGTATTGTAATATGGGCTATTAAATAGTCCAGTCGTGTAGTGAGGACGTTTTGCAAGGTCAATGATTAGATATATGAACCAGTGCTGTGCAGTGGCCGATTAATCAGCCTGTACACACTCGAGTGTAAAAGCTAAGTAGAAACTGATTGTTTTTATATACATGTGGTTCAGTCTGTTGTTTTAAACTCACACTGTTTAGATGTGCCTCCTTTGTGGGTATGAGGTGGAGAACATCAATCATGTTTTACCTTAGCAACGTTTCAGCATTAACTTAAATTGTTTGGAGATGGCTTGTATTCCTGCAAGCGCTAATGAGATATATCGAGAGGTGGAAACTTAAGGAGATCAATGGTTATTCTTAAAATGGATCTGCAGGTGGATGCTACATAAGTGTTTCTAGTTTTACAATATATAAAAAACATAGTTTGCACCAAGATGCCTTTTAAAATGGCTGTGCAAATCTGTCCTCTCAGGAAGGTTACCTTAAGTTATTGTACATGGTATTAAAACACTATTGCTATCATACTTGGTCAAGATGCCAAGGAGCATAAACACCTGTATGTCTGTCTGCTGCTACTTTTAAGCTGTCATTTACATGAAGGTTTCTCATTACTGATCACTTCAGTTTCACATCGCTCGTTAAATCTCTGAGACATTTTCCTACATGAAGGGCTCTATATAAGTGCAAGTTGTTGTATTGGATTTGAGCATTGCTCTGCAGAGTTTATATTTTAGTTTAAACTTTCGTCTTTACCTGTAGCTTCCTTCCTTCCAGTTGTTAAAGTGAAAAAATAATAGGTTGATAGTAATATAAGGTCAGAGGCAACCAAGTTCATCAAACAAAGATGACCACATTCTTTATTCTTTTCCTTGCTATGTGAAAACAATGAATTACTTTAAAAAATCTGGGTATTGAAACATCAGCATCACATAATAGTAATAATAATCCTTGTATTTGATATAGCGCTTTTCATGTCTTCTAGATGTCTCAAAGCGCTGTAACTAAAATGAATTGACTGTATATTTTTGGGCGAAACGCAACAGCCAATTGCGCACAAAACAGTCATGGATTGAAGTGACCAATTTATTTTTTTTCTTGAGGGATTATTATCAGCGTGTGGAGTAAGGAAACTTGCCCAAGGTTTTGCCCTCATCCAATAATGCAATTAAGTTTGAATGTAAATATAGGAAATATTTTGAAATCATGAGTTGTATTAATTTAATACATTTCCACAGTAGGAAATGTAACATTAGGGAACTAGATTGCCAATTTTTCAGAGACTAAAGACTAAATGTCAACATCTTACTACTCATCTACAGTTAACAGACAGTCTTTGCTTGTTAAATTCCCAAATACATCTTCCTCTCCCATTCCCCTCTTGTTGCAATAACTGTATTGATCTTCTGTTAAAGCAAAACCATCTCTAAGCAGTAAACCGAGTCCTGGTGGTGTTTTGTTTTAGTCAGCCTGATGATTGAAAACCCATCTTTATATATAAAAAAAATGCAACAGTCTTTGTAAAGACCTTTTATGATTGTAATTATTCTGTTTTATATGCATCCTAACAACATGACAAGGAATCTGGTGCTGGTCTATCACAACGTCAGACCAAAAACTGTTCAACTTTGCTTTCTGTTATGGCAGATAAACAGCTCCGTTCACTGCAGTAAACTCCGGATAACTCGACCCTGACTAACTTGCCACTGCCACTTAAGTCATCATGCTATCAATATTCCGGCCTTATTTATTCATGTATTCATTCACACATATGCCTAACAACTCGCCACTCTGGATAACTGGTCACTGAGCCCCTTTTTCCTTGGAGTGATGAGTTATCAGGAGTTTACAGCATGCACAGCACACTTTTCAGGGCCATTGGTTGCAGATTGTAATTTGCGAGATGGATGCTATTGTTGGTTGAGTTACCTCAGAATTCCTTCGGAATAACTACTACTTAGCCACACAAATTCCTGAATCCTTGGAGTATTGTTTTTGCAAACTAACACTTACGTCCCAGTCGGCTTTTCTTCCATATATTTGGGTAGGGAGAATGAACGGTGGTCGTCTCGGGCCATCGTAAAATACAACCTGCTTTTTTCTAATCCATCTTGAGGTTGTGAAATGCACGTTCGTTCCGACTGAGAATGTCAGTAACTGTTACGATCTTTATCGCACCTCCGAAAAAGAGATGCAAAAGAATTTGATGTAACTCTTAAAATCATTGAAAACGATGTACAGTGAGTAACAAATTGTGCTCCGTAATGGCTTCATTTTGAAGCTTTTAACAGAAGCTTGGTGCAGTGCAAGTCATTTCAGCATTGTATTGCAAGGTTGTACTCTTAATTGAATACAAATAATGAATTCTGGATGTAATTCATAATTCTGCTCCTTTCATTTGCGTTCCAGGCACCTAACACTATTCATTGTCTGGTTGAAGGGGTTTAAATTCGTATCAGGGCTGTGTTTGACATACTTTTACACAGTATTAATAGTTTTACAAGAACATTACACTCGTTATCCTGTTGTATGGTGTTTTTTTAACTGAGAATTCCAGGTGAATGAAGCCTCTGTGATTATCAAACTTTGTGGCCTACAATAAAGCTGAAAACTTTAGTCCCACCGTGACTCAGACCTGTGTCGGGGTTTCCAGATTTCCTTTGATGTTGATGAGTTAATTAGTGTTGGCATAAAGATGATTGCTTTGTGTACTAGGATGATAAGTGAGAAGAATTTTATTACAGTATAGATTTGACTTTTATAACTCCATGTTAAACAATAAAACTTTTTATTTCTCAGTTTGTGGTGTTTCTACATTGCCAGATTTGCATTTACCTCGCACTTTGTTCAAATTTGCTTAGAGACTGAAAGTAGCCCTTCCGAGTATTGTGCACACAGTTAATGGTATTAGTTGTTGCACATGAAATTATTTAGGAGCTGACCAAATGTACCTCAACCTCCTGCAAGACTCCAGTGATGATCTCTGTGGTCAGTCTGGATGTCTGAACAGACCCCAATAAATAATAAAAAAATTTGGAAAAAAAGACGCCAACAGCCTGGAGATATTGGCATAATGCACTATGCTGGCTCCATGCCTTCTGGAGGCATTAAAACTGACCCAAATCCGCAGGATAAAAGATCAACAGCAAACAACAGCGAATTACATTTGTAAAGCCCTTTCACATTAGGAGGATGTCCCAACGCGCTGGACAGTCAGGGATTTGGATGCAATCAGGAGTGGAGGGCAGGTAGGGTAGGGGTAGGAGGGTGGCTGAAGAAGTCCTTGAGATGAGGGAGCAAGGTGAAGGACTGGGATTGAGTTCTAAATGGTGGGGGCAGAGGCTGAAGGACTGATTGCTGATGGTGGGGCTGGCTGGGTGGGAGATGTAGAGCAGGCTGGAGCCTGCTGGAGCGAGAGGACAGGTTGATATGGAGTTAGCAGGTCACAGAGGTGGGAAGGAGCAAGGCTGTGGAGGGCATTAAAGATGAAGATAAGGATTTTAAACTGGGGGATGGGAAGCAGGGCAAGGGTTGGGGTGATAGGCTAGAGGAGAAGCTGTTTGTAGAGACAGGATGGAGATGGTGTGGGGTAGGATCTGAACCAGTCAAGTAGAGAACCATGAAGGTTGAGGTGAGGAGATCCATTGGAGGAGAATAGAGTGGTCAATGGTATCAAAGGCAGCAGAGAGGTCAAAGAGGATAAGGAGACAGAGGGAGACCTGGTCACAGATGGACAAAATATCATTTGTCACTTTGATCAGAGCTGGTTCTGTGCTGTGGGCAGCACGGAAACTCAATTGGAGGGGTTTGTAGAGGGAGTGGCAGGACAGCAAGGGGTGAAGCTGGGAAGCAACAACTCATTCCAGGAACTTGGAAAGGAAAGGGAGGTTGGAGATGTGTTGATAATTGGAAAGTAGAGATGGGTCCAGGGAACGTTTTTCGAGCATATGGGTGATAACGGCTGTTCTTAAGGCAGTGGGAACAATACCAATGGACAGGGAGAGGTTTATGATGTTGGTGAGTAGGGGAGGCAACGAGGTGGAGCTGGGAGGTTAGGAGAGGGGTAGGAATGGGTTCGAGGGAGCAGGTGGTAGGTTTCATATGGGTCATAATGGTGGCGAGAAAGGAGGGGGAAACAGGTTCGAAGATGTGGAGGGAGGGATGAGTAGGGACCGGAGGGGAAGATGGGGAATTGGTAGCAGTTGGAAGAGCAGAGCTGGCTGAACGAATCACCTCAATTTTAGTAAATGCCAGGCTGTTTTTTTAACCATTGGGCATCTATATAAAATTCCCTCTTAATAATATTAATAATCCTTGCATTTGATGTATCGCCTTATCACATTATTGAGATGTCTCAAAGCGCATCACAGAATATACTGTAAAGTGGATTGACTGTATTTTGTGGGGGAAGGGATAGGATACTGGCTTCGTGCTGATGATAATCGTCTGTAAGTTAAGTTCCAGTGTAAGTTGGCAGAAATGCTGGTTGGGGATGTTCTCATCATGCTTGTCGGGGTTGGATTGCAGATTGTCGCAGTGTTGTGCGGTGAAGGTGCATTCACGGACTATTAAGATTGGACAGCAAATTCCAGCCCCAAAATGTCCCAAGGCCTGTGACCGATTCCTCTCCCTCCACGTTTAACACGTTCTCACTTGATTGTGGTCTTTGATGGCTGGGAATCTTCATATTATCCTATTCTGTGTCGATAACTGCCAGGTTTGTCTTTTTTTCCCTTTTGGTTGAGAAGCATTAATATAACATGATGGACTGCCTTGTTGTAACTGGCACAGCACAATTTAGTGTCAGTGATTGATGCTTTCCTCTTCACTTCATAGACTCTCCAACTGGTACACACTGCACTGTTCACTTATGAAGTGTCATGTTTTTTGTTATGGAGACAGAATAGCCTGTGAAATGGAAATAAAAATGAAACAAAGAAAAAAATATGGTTTTAGATAAAAATAATCGGTTGGGTTGTAGTTAAGAATACAAATAACAATATACAACCTCTTTCACAATGTTGCCAGCAAAGTGTTTTTCTAACCCCAACTCCTGTGTGTTCCTACCTCAAGGAAAATGTTCTTTAAACGTTTGTATTCAATTGGATTTTGATTTGTTTTCTGTAATGCATTTTCCCAATTGATCGAGATAAATGGAGAGAGAGAGAGCGAGTGTGTGGGTCAGCGCAACATCTTTTACAACATCAAAATGCAATATTGCTCTAAAGCTGGGTAGAAATTACATTTTGTCAATTTTCTAAAACGAATCAGCCATTTTTTTTCCTGTTAAGTTCGCTATTCGTTTAAGATTTATTTTTTTTCCCTTTGCTTTTGTCTACCAAGTAACCCTGGCCCTGACTGCAGTTTTGCAATGCATTGAAGCCCTTCTGGTTTGTGTTGTGTTTACGTTCTTTCTGGTAAGGCACTTTATTTTGATGCCTTATGTAATTTGATTTGACTTTTCGGGTGTGGATTGGATAAAGAATTCATGACTCGATCCCAAAGGATATTTATGGAGTAAATGGACTGAATTGAGCTTTAAAAAAAAGTTGTTCCCTTGTGACCCGCTGAATAGAGAAAATGATACTTAATGAAACAATTTCCCTTTATATACTGACCGTGGGAATATTCTTATAGTTGATGTTTTGTCTTCAGTAAATATAAATAAATAATCCTTGCATTTGATGTCGCGCCTTATTACGTCATTGAGATGTCTCAAAGAACTTCACAGAATATATTGTAAATTGCATTGACTGTGTATTTTGTGGGCGAAATGCAGCAGCCAACTGCGCACAGCAGTGTCCCACAAACAGTCCTGGATTGAGTGACCAAATGTAATTGTTTTTTGGAGGAATTATTACCCCCGGAAATAATAACTACTGAGAAATAAGCTTATTTCATAGATCCAAATCAAGTTAATTTTCCAAAACACACCTTGGTGTGTTTCCAGTCATCGCTTTGACAAAATTATTAAAATTGTCTTACTGCTATTTTGGGTATCATTAATTAAAATGATATCAATGATGCCAGTTTTACATTAAAGCTACCTATCGCCTCCTGTCCTACTTGAGGTCAGAATTATGGCATGCTGCTATATTGAGATATATTTTCTATGAAGGAAATTGTATTTATTAGGCTCTGAAAGCAACACAAGCAGAAAATACAACCCTTAAAAACGATATTTAAAGCCCCCCTTGAAATTTACTTAACTTTAACAACTTAAAAACACAGTCTCATTTCATATCAGCTAAAAAAAATCTTTTTTTTTACCATTTCATGACAGAAGAGGGAGACATATTCCACAGAAAAGATAAATGGCACAAATTGACCTATTGAACATGTTCAGCTTTAACGGAAGCCAAAGCAACAACACTCTCAAATTCAAATTTGAGGCTTAGAAATGAGCACAGAAGGCCCATTAACCCATTTCTCAATTTACTTTACAGTATATTCTGTATTATTATTGAGCTCGCTCCACCATGGATCCTACAAAGCGTCTGCATCTCTCCTATCATTTCTCCTGTGTGCAATTGGCTGCCGCGTTTCGCCCACAAAATACAGTCGCTACACTTTACTGTATATTCTGTGAAGCGCTTTGAGATATCTCGAAGGTGTGATAAGATGCTATATCAAGTGCTATTATTATAATTATCACTCTGCGACGAGAAATATTTCTTTGGGCCTAATTGTGCTCATTATAGGGTTAATCAAAATGCTGCATAGCATCAACATGTGAACTAACGTGATGTTACAGGTAGCACTTCTATTCTGCTTCTAGATAAAAAAGCCTGGAAGGTTTTGCTAGTGTAAATGACCTGTACAAATTTTGCTTTTGTTTTATTGAGAAGTTGCTGTAGAGCGTAACAATCTCTTCCCATCTTGTTTCCACTTTCAATGGAAAGTTATTCGGTGAACTCTGTTGCGTTCACTGAATAACTTTGGGACATGACACGTCAAGCGTCCGACAGGATGGCAAACTGGATGGATCGTGGTCTTCTTTTGCCAAGAAAATTCTTATGTTTTTATGTTCTTAAAGCTGGTTAACTTTCAAGACGTGTTGGTCACCTTAGAAAGCGTTGGCCAAAAAGTTAAAATTAGCATTTTGCAGTGAGAGCTGTACTGAACAATGTGCATCATTGCCAAGTGACTCTTCCTTGGGTTCAGTGTTAAAGTTTGTGCCTTAACTCCAGGCAGATTTTTACTGTGTTCTGCTTCAGAAATCCATTGAGTAGATAAAGAATTGCAGACGCTTTGAAAAAAATTTACCTTGAAGTACAAAACTTCACAGGCCTGTTTCAACTCTGAATCTTGCTTCTGTCATGAGCAAAATTCAAATCTAAGGCTTTGTTGAAAGCTTTTTTCCCCATTCTGGAATCGCATTTGCTGACAGAAGAAAATTTAACTCCAGGTGGAGGTGTTAATCAGTATGTCGATAGCTTGTCTTTGACATGCTCAGAATGATTTATCTCCAACCTGACCGCTAATCTTTCCTGACAGTGTTCCTTTGTAGTCGTACTCCGTTTGGTGGAGATACTTTGATGCCTGCTTCTTTTGTAGCTTTTTCTCCGATATTAATCTGTGCATCTGAACCATTGTTTCACATCTCTCCACTTCACTGGAATTGTGCCATTTTTGGGGGGAGGGCCTTTTTTTAATGAAAATCCTAACTCCACTGATTTCTGGTTCTCTGAAGAGTCTATTTTTGTTAAAATAATGTCACGTTGAAGTAGTTGGGCCTTTCAACAAAATGTACCTTTAAGTGCATTGCCCTTCGCCACAGTTAAGAGCTACCCGGCGTGAA